TCACTGCTTCAGGAAAAAACGCCACCAGACCATTTCCTCCTCCTCCTTCCCTTTCCCCATTTGATGCCAGACAGTGATCTCGAAGACATTCATCCACGGACCCCTCTCCCCTCCCCTGGTCCTTCTGCCCCGGATGGCCCTCTTCCCATTTCCCCTCTGCCAGGATCCCACCTGTGCAAGAGACCCCCACCCACCCCATCTTCATAGGAATTGTGGTGATCTGGGGTGCAAAGGTTCCTCCCTGTACGCACTACTTCTTACTGCCCCACCCTACCCCCCACCCCAGGTTCAAGAGGGCCTTGGCAGGGGCTGAGACTGCCCGGCTTGGCCTGCCATCCCTCTGGGAATGTGGCGAGGAAATAAAACCAACTGGGGGGGGGGAGGTTGCCTTCTCTGCATCTCTGTCTTAGTTTCACAGAGATGCCGCTGGAGATCCACTGCAAGGGGAAGGTGGTCCAGGAAGCCAGGACGGAGCCCCCTCCCCCCGGATGGAAGCAGAGTCACCTGCTCCTCCGGCCTCCCCCACCCCCCAGCTCCAAGGGCTGCCTACAGGCTGTGGCTGTTTCCAATGGGCAGCCGGCAGCCTCCCCCTCGCAGGATGTGCCTGGCAGCAACCCCTGCTGCCAGCGTGCCAGGCACGGGCCAAGATCAGCTCTGCCTTCCGCCAAGTGTTAATTTGCTAATGAGAAGCTACTTGGGCTGCACGCATAGCGCTCCAGGCAGGGAGCGGGACCCTCCAGCAGCGGCGCTGAGGGCAGCCAGCTCTTGCTGATTGCTTTTGCTGGGCTGGGCCTGGCAGCGTCTGCCACCCCAGAGGCTCTCTCCTGGTGCTGCCCCAGAAGGTGTGCGGAACCCACCGCCACTGGGCTGCCTGCCTACTCCCTTCCTGCCACCACCCTCCCCCCGACTGCTGGCTGGGTCCCTACTGCCTTCCACAGCCCCGAGGTGTTTCTCATCAAGCCTCCTAGGAAGGCAAAGCAAGGGGCAGACCGTCTGTGGACCGCCCTGCCCTCTCTCCAGTCCAGCACAGACCTCTCGCTGGCTGGGACTGAAAGGGCTGCTGCACGAGACAGGGCCAGAGTTGCCACCGTCCGGGGAGAGCTTCCCCACCCCGCCCGTCCACCCCTTGCCTGGCCTGCTCTTGGGGAAGGGTGCAGCCAACAGATCGGAGCAGGTGCTACTTCATCAGAATGGGACTGGTGGCAAAGATTTGTGGCAGGGGGAGGCAGAAAAGGGCGAAACCGAGGGGGCAAGGCTGGCGTCCGGAAATGACCTGCCACAGAGCAGGCCCGGAATCGAGGGGAAGAGCCGCCTTCCACTCCCAGCAGAGATCACACACACACGTCGCCAAAGACTTGCAACCTCTCCTGGGCAACCAGGCCGCCCTCTCTTTTGTGCTTTGCCGGCTTGCAATCCTCCCCCCCACCCCCGCCGCCACCAGCAACAACTGCCCACGTACCAGTGGGTCCTTCAGCACAGCTATGGAGACAAGGGCCAAACTCTGCCACCATCCTTGACAGCAACTCTGCCCCTACAACCGGCTCTGGCAGCGCCGCTCCTGGGCCCACCGATATCCCACACCTCAAGTGTCCCTGGCAGCATCTTTGGCTGGTTCATTTGCTAATGTGCTGTACGCTCTCCCCTGCCAGTGACGCTAAGCCTCAAAGAATAAATGGACACAATTCACAACACCCAAGATGGCGGTGGAAACACACAGCATCAGAAAGTTGGAACTCTTCGAGATGCTTCGCCAAAGAGAAGGCATTTCAAAGGGAGGTTAGAGAACCAGAGGGCTGAACTGGTCTTTTTCTATTCATAAATGCCTGTCCAAACTAGAGGAATAAATAGGGGCCAGCCTTCCTAATATTCTCTCTCTCTCTCTCTCTCCCTCTCTCTCTCTCTTTCTCTTTGTGTCGATAGGGTGGTTTCCATAATGGTTTTCCCTATAGGTGAACAAGGCCCCACTAACACACAAGAATGCAACTGTCAAGCTGTTCATAACTTCAACTGGCAGATCCCAGCCAGAGCCATGAGCTCCAGGCCAGGCGGGCTTGCCCATCACAGGACAGATCAGAGCCTATGCAAACTTGTTTATACCCCAAAGGATCAATAGGTTCACACATTCAGCTTGCACAGATATAAATGCTACTTTCTCCAGACTGACAAAGGTATGACTGCAGGTGACCTACAAGAACCCCTGACATTTTCAGAAATGTAGCTGTGTTAGTCTGTGTCATCATGTGGGCAAAAGAGGGGGGGAGGAAATGGGGGAAGGGGAGGCTAAGGACAGAAGGCCAACAGCCCGCAAGAGCCCCATCCCGTTGTCTATTATCCATGTCCTTCTGAGGTTGTGGGGACAGGTATAAATCCATAGTCCTGCGTCTGCACTTCTCTGTCTGAAGAAGGGGATGTTGGTCCATGAATGCTTGCTCTGAAATAAAACTGTTTAAAGACCAATGACTGCTTCAATATTTTTCATTTCTTTCTTTCTTTTCAGTTGCCAACAAACCTCAAAAATGGAAAGGGGGGGAGGAGAAGTAGATGACAGAAGAAACATGAGAACTAATGCAAGAGCGAAAAAACAGAAAAATAAAGACAACAGATATAGAATTACATGAAACAATGGAAACGTGAAGGAAGCCAGTGCTCTGAACAACAACAACAGAAAACCTAGGGAAGAACCACAGGTTATTCTGTTCATGTGCATGAAATCAATCCTTGACCAATGAGTTCCAGAGATCAATTCATAATTTTCCCAATTAATCAATTACTTGGAAATGCAAGGAGAGGCCTTCTCACAAGCAAAAGGGACAGCAGGACCCACAGCTTGCATGGTGACCCGGGACAGGGGAGAGATAGAAAAGGAGACCCAGCTAGGCCCTGCCAGGATTGATCCTGGGTGGGTCTCTGCCAGCCAGCATTGCCTCTTTGTCTCTGCTTCTTCGCTTTGGTCACTTCCCAGTGGAAATAATCTCCCAACACTGAGAGTGTTGCACACCTGGATTGCACAGGAATAGCTGCATTGTCTGTTCCTCCCAATATGATTTGTTGCTGGTGGGGCACCCCCTTCCATCAGCTGCTGCTCTTTCAGCTTTGCTGATTTCAGGTATGTTAATTCTACTTCATTAATGAAATTCTCGTGTTCTGCATCATTTCTAACTTCTGCAACCCATTTTGTTTCTCTTCTTTTTTTTTTTGTTCCTTCCTTCCCCCCCCCCCCTCTCTTTCTCCAAAGGCACCTCCACGCACCTCCTTTACTTTTACTTTGGCCGAAGAGTTGGGGTCCCTAACCAGCCCACAGACTGACTAAGGGGCTTGTTTCTCCCCTGCCTGGGCCATCATTCCCTCCTTCCAGGCCCTGCCTCAGAAGAAGATAGAGATGGGAAGGGCTCCTAGCCTGGGGACCTACCCATTAGCGACCCGCCCCCCCCAGGGCTCCTCTGCCTTGAGGGGGCCCCTGTGCATCCTAACTAGCCAGCCCCAACCCCTGCAACTCCCAAGATGGGCACGGTGGGCACAAAGCAAGAGGGGTGCAGTTCCACAAATCGAGCTAAAAAGCAGAAAAGGCCACCTTTTCTCAGGGGTCAGTTCCGAAGATGGACCCAGGCAGCCCTGGGGAACCACCGGCTGGATGTCCCTCCCTCTGAGGTACTCCGGGAGGTCCAAAGGTCAGGCAGAGCATTTCCTCGCAGGCCGGCACGGAGGGGGGGGGAGCGCGGGGGCGGCTGGATGCTCTGCTTGACGGACCGGGTGCCTCGGGACCCCCCCCCTCAGCAGCAGGGAGCCCCTCCCAGCCTGGAGGGACGGAGCCCGGCCGGCCGGTGACCCCCAGGAGTGGCCCAAAGCAAAAAGCGAGCCCAGGCCACCAGAGCGGACCCGGTGGGCT